GCTGGAAGCCCCCATGGGTGGGTCACAGGGGGCACAGCTCCATGTATTAGACAGTATAGGGACTGAATCTGTATAGATTATTCATATTTCACCCCAAAATTTCCCTGGTACCTTTCATGCCCTCCCCTGCTATCAGTGCCAAGCTTGTAACTAGTGGAGGGATTGGGGGGGGGTACTATGCAATAAAACTTAAATATTTGCATTGTAGATGGTGAGAGGAATCCAATGATACCAATATCGTCATGATCCGTTTGGTGGAACTATTAGAAAAAATTACCCTTCATTTTTTGTTAAAATTCTAGTTTCACTTTTGAGGCTCTCAGACGCTTGTGTGTCCAATAACTTTGTTATTTTTGAGTTCCTATGGAAGTGCATAGAAGATAGGTTTCTTAGAATCATTCGCTCTATCGTTTGCATATATTTTGTCTAAAAGATGGCTTGCTGAAACTCTACCCTCACCCAAATGTTTTGGATTATATCTGAAGCTTGATTAAATGTTTTGGATTCTGTCAAAAGCTTGCTTTGCTAACAAATATCCACTGTCAGATTTATATGGCAAGAAGGAAATATTCTAGAATCAGTCTACATTTTAAAACCCATTAGATTTGGTTTCAATGAACCCCTCATCAAGGTCTGCAAACCAAAGATAGGAGAAATAGTCAGAAGTGTGAATATATAAGCACAAGATGAACGTCTGAATACTTCTGTACTTTGCACAATAACATGGGACTGAAAACATGGTGAGGTATGTTACTCAGACCTGTTAATGCTATGGAGATTTTACATGCCAGATCGGTAATTGGGGGTGGGACTCCACTATAAAGAGGAATTTTAGGGGACACAGCCCCATAACACTGACAAAAATACTTAAGTAAACCTGATATTTACCAATGATGACCGTGCTCATTTGGAAATAATACAAGACCCACTTATTAGGTCTTGTATTGTGTATCTTGTCTTGTATCTATTGTTGTCAAATGATGATTAAAACTGAAATAGATACACACTAGAGATCATGAGAAATTTACTGATACCAAACTTGATTAGTTTTAAGACAAGGACATATTCTACTGTCAAAAATACTCACATGAATGTGAGTTCCTTTGGTAAATATTTATTTTATATTGAGCACATAATTATTATGTATGAAGTTGCAATTACAACACAGAAGGCTTATCATTGTAGAAAAAAAGTATATATATTGTTATCTTTATAGGTTAAGGCACAGTGGAATGAAATGTGCATTATAAATGTGGTCCCTTGAGTAGTGTGTCCATGTGTTTTTCTTTTTCTTACAGGAAAAGTTACTAGTTTCAGGGAAGTGGATTTTGGTTTAAAGACTTCAAGATGGTTGAGTTTTCAACTGTTGCTATAGGTGTGCTTCTATCCCTTGAACTGGGATACTTTGTGAAAGCTGTTGTCTATGCTTTTGGCTCAAGGTTTCTGCTGCCAAAGCTTCATCCTCTTGAAGCATCAAGGTTATACGGTAAGCTCCTGTAGAATTTGTTGTGTCGTAAATGAAATATGGTGAATTTTGATTTATTTCTGTCTCAATTAAATATATGATATATGTGAAATGTTTGTATAAGCATTTATGTAAGTAAAAATGAGTAAGTGGAAGTGTACGTGTAAGAGAGAGGAGAGATGGGAGAGGAGAGAGGGGGGGATAGGAGAGGGAAGAGAGTAGAGGGGAGAGAGGGGAGAGGAGAGAGAAGAGGGAAGAGAGAAAAGACGAGAAAAAGAAGAGGAGGGAATGAGGCGGAGGGAGTGAAGGTGAGAGAGTAAGGGGGAAAGGGATTGAGGAAATAAGGAAATGAAGGAGTGAGGGAATGTAGGGATGAGGGAGTGAGGAAGTGAGGGTGATTGAGAGATTGAGTGAGTGAGTGTATGAGTGAGATTGAGTGAGTGAGTGAGTGAGTGAGAGTGAGTGATTGAGTGAGTGATGAGTGATGAGTGAGATTGAGTGACATGAGTGAGATTGAGAGTGATGAGTTGAAGTGAGTGCATGAGTGAGATTGAGTGAGTGAGTGAGAGTGATTGAGTGAGTGAGTGCATGAGTGAGATTGAGTGAGTGAGTGCATGAGTGAGTTGAGTGAGTGAAGTGAGATGAGTGAGTGAGTGCATGAGTGAGAGTGAGTGAGTTGAGTGAGTGAGTGAGTGCATGAGTGAGATTGAGTGAGTGAGTGCATGAGTGAGATTGAGTGAGTGAGTGCATGAGTGAGATTGAGTGAGTGAGTGCATGAGTGAGAGAGATTGAGTGAGTGCATGAGTGAGATTGAGTGAGTGAGTGATGAGTGAGTGAGTGATTGAGTGAGTGATGAGTGAGAGTGAGTGAGTGATGAGTGAGAGAGTGAGATTGAGTGAGTGAGTGCATGAGTGAGATTGAGTGAGTGAGTGCATGAGTGAGATTGAGTGAGTGAGTGCATGAGTGAGATTGAGTGAGTGAGTGGAGTGAGATTGAGTGAGTGAGTGATGAGTGAGAATTGAGTGAGTGAGTGCATGAGTGAGATTGAGTGAGTGAGTGAGTGAGTGAGATTGAGTGAGTGAGTGAGTGAGTGAGATGAAGTGAGTTGAGTGAGTGAGTGAGTGAGTGAGAGTGAGTGAGAGAGATTGAGTGAGAGTGAGTGAGAGAGTTGAGTGAGTGAGTGAGTGAGAGAGATTGAGTGAGTGAGTGAGTGAGAGAGATTGAGTGAGTGAGTGAGTGAGAGAGATGAGTTGAGTTGAGTGAGTGAGTGAGTGAGAGAGAGATTGAGAGTGAGTGAGTGAGTGAGAGAGATTGAGTGAGTGAGTGAGTGAGTGAGAGAGATTGAGTGAGTGAGTGAGTGAGTGAGAGAGTGAGTGAGTGAGTGAGAGAGTGAGTGAGTGAGAGAGATTGAGTGAGTGAGTGAGAGAGAGTGAGTGAGTGAGTGAGAGAGATTGAGTGAGTGAGTGAGAGAGATTGAGTGAGTGAGTGAGAGATTGAGTGAGTGAGAGAGAGTGAGTGAGTGAGAGAGATTGAGTGAGTGAGAGAGATTGAGTGAGTGAGTGAGTGAGGAGTGAGTGAGTGAGTGAGTGAGTGAGTGAGTGAGTTGAGTGAGTGAGAGTGAGTGAGTGAGTGAGTGAGTGAGTGAGTGAGAGAGAGAGAGAGAGAAGAGAGAAGAGAGAGAGAGAGAGAGAGAGAGAGAGAGAGAGAGAGAGAGAGAGAGAGAGAGAGAGAGAGAGAGAGAGAGCAACTGAAGGCTGATAATTGCGTAAATGACTCACTTTTTTCTTATTTATGTTGATAAATGCAATGTGATTCTCCCATTGCTGTATAATAAAAAAAGTTCCTTTATATGAAGAATATATTAGCTATTTTAAAGACTGAATAAACTGAATATCTTGCACTGATATCAGCATTTCTTCACTTTTTTCAGGTATATGCACAACCAGAGACATAGACTTCCTGTTGAACCACATCAACAATGCACGATACCTCAGGGCAATGGACTTTGGTCGTGTGGACCACTTCACCAGGGCCAGACTTTTAAGTGGCCTAGGAGGGAAGAAGGTGCAGGTTCTTGTTGCAGCCAGTACCATCAGATACCGCAAGCCAGTTTACCTCTTTATGCCTTACAGGCTGGAATCTCAGGTCAGTTTTAGGGTCATAGGAAAAAAAGTAATTGTAGTATGGTACTTAGATGCTATTTACAAGTTATGGTTTGGATCTGGGTTCCTCATGGCTGTTTATCTTGTATTCTGTTCATCCACAATACTTAGGGGTGACGGAAACACCAGTAATAGATTAAGTAAGCTTTATTTACAGTCTTTCTAATTTTAAGAATATATTCCTCTGTTAAGTTAAGATAATGAAATCAACAATTTTTTTGTATAATGAAGTACAGTACCATGTTTTTTAAATATTTGTTTCTATTTTATTCATGTAAATCAATAGAGATTGACAATTTACAGATTGTTTACTGGGATGAGCGAAATTTATACTACCGCCAGAACTTTGAAACGATCCACGACAACTTCCTACGAGCAACTGCCTACGTAAAGCTAACAGTGTTGGGGTCAAGTCCAGATGAACTCTTGACTGCCTGCCTTTCAGAATCTCCAGAACGACCAACCATTCCAAATGATCTTGAATCTTGGATGCTCTATGTAAAGCAGAACAGTGAGAATCTCAAGAAGAAATTGTAGGAAGTTTGCAATATAGTCTGCTGTCTTTTGTTTTATCCATGTTTTATAATGCACACAGTCATTTGTTCAATTTATTGCTGTCATAGCCTCAATCAAATGGCACTCTGCAATATTCCTCCTTTGCAAACCAATTTGAAATTTAGTATTATCCATGTTTGTAGTAGATGCACTTTCTTTAAGCTAACTGTTCAAAAGCCACAAATGGGACTGAGTGATCCTTCATAGTCTTACATACTTTGTAGATAACATATTTTATTTTATTTATTTTATTTTTTTATTTTTTTTATTTTATTTATTTATTTATTTTTTTATCCAAGTCATACAGTGGTTAAATATTGCCCAAAATATTTTGCTGATGTTGCAAGCACATTATTATAATATACTTAGACATGGGTAACATGGTACCTATTTAAAAGGCAAATATATTCGAAACCAGTGATATTTTCCCTTGTGATGTCTCTTCATAGTGCAATGGTGTATGAATATTCAATGGCATTCCTCTCTGGTACTGTCAGTCAGTTGTTATGTACTTCTACAGGTACTGCTTCTCTTATTTTTATGCATGGTCTAGTCAGTCTGTTTTAAGAACAAACTTTCTTAATCACTCATTTGTGTATGACATAGAGAATACTGAAAACTTATAGGAATATATATATATATATATGATGTGTGTTCATTTGTTTGTTTATTGTCATTACAAAAGATAAGTGTTCATCTGCCCTGCATATCCAAGAGGTGGAGATATTACATAGTAAACCTTTATCTTAGACCCTGACAAGCCTTATGTTTAGAGTTAAGCATATACGGAAGTTTGGAGGAAGTCCTTACAGTGCCAGTTTTCAAGATAGAGTGTATACATCTCCATGACAGTTATCCATAGACCTTACAGTGCCAGTTTTCATTAGTAACTGTCAAAAGGCTCACTTTACTCTTGGAATTTTCCATCTTTATAGAGATGCATTCAATTTCCTAATCACATTTGAGGTAGTATGCTTGTGATGTAATTCCAGGCATTTCATAGACATTTCCATTGTATACATAGTTATTAGTTTATATGTAATGATTTATCTGCGAAATAGTTAATTTTCCTTCATAAATATAATCAGCTTCTGGTGTATTTCCTTGCTTTTTTTAAAAGAAAGGAGGGCATGAATTTTAGTGAAAATGGTATATGTGCTGAATTGCACACACTGATGTTATATAGTATTTACTAGGCAATAGAAAACATTCCTTTGTAGGAAATTTACTTTCAAATTATAATTTTGTATGGCTTCACAAAAGAGTGCTTTTTAAAAGATTCATTACATCCAAGCCTTTGCACAGAATGCAATGTTTTAAAGTAGGAATCATGTATATTCTGATATGGTTGATTTGGCATCACACATGCATTTCACAAAAGCCTTTGAATATTGTTTTATTTAGAATATTTTAATCCAGAAATTCTCGTTTTCATCACAAAATATTTATTTAAGGTGTCAAAGTCTAAAAGAGTAACGGGTCTATTTCAAGGAAAAATATTACTAAATGTCACATCTCATCTAGGGTAAGACAGTTAGTTATCATAGAATGAATAATGAAGACAAAACAGTGTTATGTTAATATATGGTTCGCATATATTGCATGATGTAAATTCAATTAATGAGCAATTTAAGCTTTTTGAAAGAATATTATATCAGTTTTTTTTAATAATAGTGAAATTGTTACCAAATTACTAAGCCTTTTCAAAGGTTATTTTGAGGAATAGGTCACCATTTGATATTTGGATTGATGTGATTAGAACCACAAGAATCAACCCACCATTGCCAGGAAATATGTCCACTGTAGTGAAATGTCTCAGTGTTTACTATTTGTGGAGCCACCTATATGTAAAAATAATTAACAAATTAAACTTACATTGGGCATAGCCAGTATGATTGCTGGCATGCTGTTCCCAGTGGGGATTAGTGGGTTCAAATTGTCATTACTTTAACTCTACTCATGGTATTAATTTAATTTATGGTTGATTAAAATCTAATGTCATTTAATATCTGTTCGTTTTCTCTCTTTGAATTAAACTTCTATGTTCTTTATACTGATGCAGAAATGATTGTTCTTCTGCGTTTTGTGGTAGTTTAAGAATGTAGTTTTGGTGTTAATCTGTCGTGCTCCAAATGAGGTTCAGTGGTTGTAGGTTGTAATAAAAAAAATACTTTAAGTTTAAAAGGTATAACTCTATTTAGAATGTTCCAAATGAATTTTCCTTGAGTGTAACTGCATGCACTGAATTTAATCATTTCAATTCGTAAATTTTGTCTTTGTACTCCACTCATTTTCTTATAATATATATGTGTCTTTGGCTCAGCTATCTTACTGAGGCTGTATTCTATGTATCATGATAGGGTCGGCCTCTTCAGGTCTATGAAATCCTTCTGTGGTTTTATGAAATATCTGTAGATTATTAGTTTATGTAATGTTGTATTTTCATTGTGTTTCTCTGTAGTAATTAGAGGTAGGGTCCGACATAGTAGTTAGTTTTGGGGTGTTCAGATACTTGGGACTTGTTTGTGTATTGTTTCCATTGTTTGATTTTGGGGGTTGATTTTTGGGTTACCTTGTGTGTTGGAGTATCGAGGGTACGGACACTCTTTGTTGTGAGTCTGGTGGATCTTTGTCCATGAACTATTTTATAAACTTTATAAGGAGTCTATTATGATTGATATTGTAATGTTGAATTCTACAAGTATGTACACCATAAGAAAACTACTACCTTAACGTTGAAATGAATGATGATGTTATTTTTTTGGGGTGGAAGTCACTTATTTTTTCATCTAATGTTTAGTTATCTTTGGGTAATCTTAATGTGGTTTTTTTTTTAAAATTTTTTGGCTCATTTACTAAATTCTTAGTACCATACCTTTACAGATTTCAATATGCTTGATGGATGAGACGATGGATATGCGGATAATCTTAGTGTGTGTTTTGTTTGTGTGGTCACTTGGAAGCTGGGCCTCGTGTTCATGCTATATCTCGTATGTTGTTGTATAAACATTCGTGAACTGAACTCGAAGTTTGCAGGTTGTCGGTTTTATTGGTGTTTAACAATCTCCACCTAGAGTCTTATTTATACTACTATGGGGGTTTAAGAATTTCACTGTTATCTTCGCCGTAATGCATTTTTCTGTGTTTTAAATCACAGAGCTTATTAATATGTAAGAATTCACTGTATTTGAGTAATGCATTTTTCATGTTTAAAAGAAAAAACAGTGTTAATATGCAGGGTATGGCACTGTGATTTAAAGTGTAATATTCCAAAGATTTCAGGTATATATTTTCTTTTCTTGTAAATATTTTATTTTA